TCCCCTGAAGGGGGAGAAGGGTCAACTCACCTAGACTCACGTACCTCAGGGCTTCAAAAATTCTCCTATCCTCTTTGGAGAAGCATTCCAGTGAGACTTGACTGAATTTTGAGTTGCTTACCCCGAACTATCTGTTCTGTATGTTGATGATTTGATTCTTGCAGCAAGAATCCCCCCAGGATTGTCTAGATGGAATGAGGGACCTATTTGACACTTTAGAACAACTCAGGTATTGGGTCTCAGCCAAAAAGACACAGTTATGCCAAGAGAAAGTGACTTATTTAGGCTACAAGTTACATCAAGGTAAACATAGCCTCTCCTTGGCTAGGAAGCAAGCCATCTTACAGATATGTGTTCCAACCACCAAGAAGTAGGTTCATAAATTCCTGGGGGCTGCTAGATACTACAGGCTATGGATGCTGGGGTTCACTGGGATTGCCAGGCCCCTGTATTCAGCAACCACTGGGCAAACTGAGCTATTAAAACAGACTGGTAAAAAACAAAAGGCCTTCCACTCATTGAAGGAGGCTCTGGTGTGAGCTCCAGCCTTAGCTTTGCCCAATGTGACCAGACCTTTCAGACCATTTGTACATGAGGCTCAGGCATAGCGAAGGCAGTTCTGACTCAAAATCTGGGGCCATGGAGAAGGGTGGTGGCTTATCTGTCAATAAGGCTAGGCCCTGTGGCCTCCAAATTGCCCACCTGTTTAAGAGCAGTAGCCATGACTGCAATCCTAGTTGGAAAGGCCAATAAATTGACCTTGGGCCAGGAGTTGAAAATAACAGCCCTTCACTCTGTAGAGGCATTGCTGCAAGGGGCCACTGGCCGCTGGATATTGAACTCTACCAGAGCCTCCTCCTAGATCAGCCCAGATTCACCTTCTGCCCCACCCAGGCTATCAACCCAGCCACCTTGCTGCCAGATAACAATCCAGAAGAAATAATCCATGATTGCAAGGACCTCCTAGATCTTACTCAGGCTTGTAGGCTTGACTCCCCTAGAAAAGGCCAGGGCAACGTTGTTTTCAGATGGGAGTAGTTTTATTGATCAAGGGGTCTGGAGGGCTGGGGCAGCCGTCACCTCCAAGAAAAAGGTCTTCTGGGCTCAAGCTCTTCCTGCTGATACATCTACCCTGAAAGCAAAACTTATAGCCCTCACATAGGTCCTGAGATGGGAAAGAGGAAGAAGGATCAATGTCTATACAGACAGTAGATACACTTTTGCCACCATTCATGTTCATGTAATCCTGTACAGGGAATGGAGACTCTTGACATCGGCTGGAAAGGAAATCAAAAATAAAGAAGAAATCCTAGCTTTTCTTGAGGCTGTCTGGTTCCCTGTAGAAGTGACAGTGATGCATTGCAGAGGACACCAGAAAGGTGACTCTCCTGAGGAGATGGGAAACCACCTAGCTGACCAAGCAGCCCAAGAAGCTGCCTGGGGCTCTGTGAAAGTCATCAGAGTTCTAACTGTACTGTCCTAACCTCCACTGGTGCTGCCAGAGAACCCCATTTACACCTCAGAAGAAGAGATTCAAGCAAAAGAAAATGGGGCTCTCCTCGACCCACAAGGATGATGGAAAGGAAAGGATAAAAAGATCATTATGCTGGCCACCTTGGAAAGAGAATTAATTCGACAGCTCCACTCCACCACCCACCTAGGAGAAACAAAGCTGACTGATCTCTTGTCTTCCTAGTTTTTCATCCCTGGCCTCTGTGACTCAGTTCACTCAGTGACTATGAGGTGTCCAGAGGGTGCTCAGGTGAACCCCAAGCAAGGTAGGAAGATGGAAATGAGGTTGAGGTTACATGGGTTAAGCACAGGAGAGCATTGGGAGGTAGACTTCACTGAATTGAAGCTGCCTGCAGCAGGATACAGGTACTTACTAGTGATGATAGACACAGTCTCAGGATGGGTGAAAGCATGGGAAACAAAGGGAGAAACTGCACAGGTGGTAGCCAAGAAACTGTTACAGGAGATTGTCCCTAGGTATGAGCTTCTGGTCAACACAGAATCAGATAATGGGCCCTCCTTTATGTCATCAGTAACCGAAGTAGTAAGCAGGGCCCTAGGAATAGATTGGAAGCCCCATTGTGCTTATAGACCCAAAGTTCAGGTCAGGTGGAATGGATGACCCGGACTCTCAAAACCACTTTATCCAAATTGATCTTGGAGACTTATAAAAACTGGTTCAACCTCCTTCCCTTAGCCCTCCTTCAGGCACGTTGTACTCCCTACAAAGCAGGATACACTCCTTTTGAAATTATGTTTGGCAGGCCTCCCCTCTTGCTTCCCCAAATTAAGGATCCTACCCTGGCAAAATTAACTAATAAATCCCTGCTAAAGTATTTATAGGCTCTTCAGCAAGTCCAGGTAAAAATTCACAGCAATATGTATGAGGTCCTGGTACACCCCAGCTCAAAGCCAGCCCACAAGTTCCAGCCTGGAGATTCGGTAAAAGCTGCAGTGAAATGGGCTGTACCTCAAGGTGACCAGGATCCCTGCCTGGATTCACCACACCTGTGTAAAGGCTTCGTCAGAATCATGGGCCATCGAGCCAGAAGCTAAACCACTGAAGATAAGACTTAAGAGACAAAAATGATTTTTCTCTTGCTGTGCTTGATTTGCCCCTGCTGCTGTTGGAATCAATATCAAGGTTCAGGATGTGGGTTTAGATTCTTCCTGTTTTCTACCGAGGATGGGACCATCATAGCAAACCAAACTTGGAGGTAACTCACCTTTCAGGTAGACCTCTGTGCTCTAATGGGTACTGTGTTTTCTGTCCCCTCAGCTACTCTGCCTTCAGCTAAAGCGGGAAGACTAGGAGTCCGTCTGGGGTGTGGAGCAGTGGGGGCTAAAAAGGTCTTGCAGGCCACTGACTACTATACCTGTACAGCAAAATCAAAGGAAAGCCACTGTTTGAGGGCAGAAGAATACTACTGTTTTGAGTGAGGCTGTAAAACCATATTTACATGGAAAGGGAAGCAACAGGACCCCACATCAAGGTCTGGAGAATCTCATTCTCTAGTCTCTGTCAGATAAGACACTGTAATCCCTTATCCATACTTATCCCCCTACCTGAGGATTTTGCATAGATCCTGGGACATACTTGGAGAATACAAATATACCAGGATGGGCCTGATCATGAAACTCTTTTTACCATCCAGAAACAAACTATAGGGCTGTGGCATAAATCACCCATAGGGCCACTGGCAAATATTCTGGGTAAAGCCTCAAAGGTCCACTGAAGCCCCAAGATCCAGCTCCACTTTTAGGCCTGATCCTAGGCCTTACTCCCCAGGGACTGTCCCTGACTTTTACACCCCCAGGCAACTTCACTAGCAGCATCACAGCATCTTCTGAACCCGAGACTAATAGGGATGCTGTACATCATGCATGCCTTGTTTAATGCTACCCAACCACAGGAAGCTTCAGACTGTTGGCTATGTGTGTGCTCCCAACCCCCTTATTTTATGGGTATGGAGACCACCAAATCCCCGCTCAGTTCCACGAATTTCATTGGGCACCAGGGAGCCGACCGAACTTCCATAACTCTGGGGGACATTGAGGGCTCTGCTATTTGTATATATTCTGCTCATTTTGATCTAAGAGAGCCACTGTACCAACCTCTTTGCAACCAGACCATCAAAATTAACAATTCTTTAGCAGGAGCCTACTACTCCACACCTGAGGAAGCCTGGTTTGCCTGTACAGTGGGCCTCACCTGATGTGTAACTCCACCAGTTCCAGAGTGAGACACCTCTCCTCTGCATATTAGTTGTTGTCCTCCCTCAGGTCTACATTTAAAGAGGCATGAAAGAAAGAGTTCTCATCTTTTCCCCTAAAAAACATTACTGGGAAAAGAGAGATCCATGGATTTTAGTCCCCATGCTAGTAGGACTCAGTATCTCTGGGTCTGCCTCATAGGAATGGATGCCTTAGGGATGAATTGGGACTTTCTGAAGCCATCTGTCAAGCTGATGCAGACATTGCTCTCCTAGAAGTTTCAATCAATAGGCTAAACAAACAGGTAGACTCCTTGGCAGAAGTGACATTGCAAAATAGGAGAGGACTTGAGCTTCTTTTTAGGGCCCAGGGTGGTTTATGTGCAGTCCTGGGAGAGACCTGTTGCTTCTATGCCAATGAGACCAGTATGATTCAGGAGAGTCTTCAGTTAGAAAAAATGTAAAAAATTTTAAAAAGAGAATGAGAAAAAGCTCAAGTATGGTTTCAAAAAATGTTTAGTTGGTCCCCCTGGCACACACCTTTGCTTTCTTCTGTCACAGTCCCCCTCATTCTTATCCTGCTTGGGTTCATGATAGCCCCATGTATAACCAGCTTCTTAGTTATGTTTGTACAAAATCATATTTCCTCTGTAAAGCTAATGATACTAAGATCTTCTTATAGCTCCCTGGAGATTGAGAAAGAGTCAACAGTTTGTCTTGATCCCCAAAGAAAGTGGGGAATGAAATAAGGAAGTTCAGCCAGGATGCCTCCATGGTGACTCACTCCTAATCTCTGTTCCCCCCTCCCCACCCAGTTGTTCACTCCTGACCTCTGCCCCCTTCCCTGGGGTTGTTTGCTTAGAATTAGATTAAAATTAACCAGAACATATCATATCCTGTGCAGTTAAACATAAAGATGGGTATTTCCTGCCCATGTTGATCTAACTTGGCTATCTGCTTCTGTACCCCTGACCTTGCAATAGATAAGGTCACAATATTCCCCTGCAGCCACCTGCATGTGATTTTTTCCTTTATAAACTTGCTGTAAATGCTCATCCTGGGTCAAGGGAGCTAGGAGTGTGAGCTTGGCCTTGGCTGCAGGCTGAATAAAGGACTCATAATTTGGACAGTTTCTCATAGCATGAGTTTTATTGCTGGGTTAGATATAACAGATACAGTTCAGTGGCATTCAGTACATTTACATTGCTGTGCAAGGATCCCTCACCATAACTTTTTCTTCCACCCCAATTTAATGAAATTAAACCGTACTGATTAAACAGTAACTTTCCATTCTCCTCTTCCTTTATTTCCTGGCAATTACTTCTAAATGTTATTTTACAGCAAAAAAAAATGTTGGCTTTTACACTGGATTAAGAACCAAAAATTATAATTATGTGAAAGAGAAGAAGGGAGACAGAGGCCAATTTGGAACCAGCTGTGCAGTACTTAGAAGATTCTGGGAGTGTGCTCTGTGTGTGTGTGTATATATGTGTGTGTGTGTGTGTGTGTGTCTTTAAAAGATTCCCCACTTCCCCGCCCTCCTCCTTACAGTGTGTCACTGTGTTTCTCTGACCTCAGGTTTCCTCCGTCCCCAAGACTAGCTAGCATGGCCAACTTTCTTTGTAGTCTTGCAAGCAGGTTTGTTGCCATGGAATCCATACTCTGAGAAGGATTGAGAAGCATAAAGGTAAAGGTAATCATTTGTTTATACTGTTGCTCTTCTTCTGGAAAAGCCTGACTGGTAGGATTCCTTTAAGAGCTCAGCCCCGAAGTGATTTATTCCATCACTTTACCTACTTGAAAAGCAAGACTCAGGGACACCTTGTGGAAGGGACGCCTGTTGGGCTCTATCTTCCTACAAATGTCTAATCCTAGAGCTAACGTCGTGAGCAATGGGACTCTCCCCAACCGCAAGAAACAGAGCAACACTTCTCAAGATGAAAAGCATACGAGTAATGGGGTAGTGAAAGAAAGACAGGTAAGACGCAATCTCCCCCTGCATGTTCTGAATGCCCTAAATGTATCGATGTTTCTTGTTGAAGCTGTTTGAAGTAGTCCCTACTTAAAGTTCTTTTGATGAATTGTTCTGTGTGTTTTGGAGTCTCCCTTCAGCTAAATATGTTGATGTGCTTGGCTATCAGAAATGTTTAAGTGTGGAGAAAGAAGAGAAAGTGTGGAGAAATAAGAGAAGACACACGCAGACACACAGCCTTAGATTCTGTGAAACAGACTTGCCTCCTAGACTTTCGTTTTCTTTCAAGCAGTTGGGGCCAGGACTGTGAAAACACATCAGCTAAGTTTCAGTCCATCAGAGACTTGGCTGCGTTTGTGACGTTTTGAAAAGAAAAAGGAAATGAAAGTTAATTTTTCTGAGATGATGTGATGTAGGTGGCATTTTTCCATGCTACACATGAAATGCCTCACCAGTTGAAAGGCGAGTTCTTTTCAGTGTTCAGTGGAGCATTGTGATGCCCAAACCTTGATTGGAGGCTGGGTTTTTTGAAATTTGACATCACAGCCATTGCTTTCTAAAACTCTTCAGAAAATGTGACTCACTGTGACACTGTGCACAGAAACCCAAGCAGGATCTTTAACACAGACCTTTGGGTTTTTTCTCAATTTACATTTTCTTTTTCTGTTATTGCTCTGTAACAGAATTTTTTAGAAGATGTTCTAAGGAGGGAAAGAAATCAAGAAATTATCAGAAGAAGGAGCTGAGGTGTGTGTGAGTCTTGTAGAAAACCAGTTCCGCAATTCCCAGGTTGACCTGTGCTCTGCTCTGCCTGGGGCAAACCTGAGCAACCCACCAGGTAGCCTGGCATTGGGGAAATGAGCAGCTCCACAGGGAACTCCTGCGATCTTGCAGCACTCAGTTGTCTCAGGGACCCCACATCCAACCAGGGAGAGGTCAGATTGCTCCAAAACTGAGGCACTCATAGGACTGCCTCACTCAGGGAATTAAAGTTGTAAATCCTGTAGGAGAGGCACGAGGCACTTTGGAGCCTGGCTTGTTTGTAAAAAGGTGTGGTCCCCAAAGTGTAACACACACCCCCACCTATTCATTGTTCAAAAAGCCTCCACTGGTATCACTGTCCCAACTGTTGTTCCTCACCTCTAAAATGCGGATATCTCTCTGGTCACTCATTTATTTATCTCTGGATCATTCTGACCCTGAGAGTTTTCTTGAAAGCAGACACATTTTTAATGTTTGTTTTCCCTTCCCTTTATCTTGATTTGTAACCACACTCTTGCATTTAAGGTTAGATTCTCAGACACAAGGTTACAGCCACTCTTGAGTAAGAACAGAACCCAAGATCCTAAAGGCTTCTTACTAAGTGCTCCTATAAGCAGCTAGCATCCTTGGACATCAAGGCTTCCTTCCCTAGGAGCAACTGAGTCTAAGAATCACTGTTGTCTTCTCTGAAAGCTCTTTCAGAAGGGCCTTCCACAGCCTGTTGACTAAGATATATTTAGGCATTACTAAGTTGAAATTGGCTTCCACTGAGAGCCTCAATTATAACTTTAAAAATATTTTCCAGAAAGAATAAACCCTGCTGAGATCAGAGTGTCATAGAGCAAACAAGGGCCTATTTTCTCCTTCTGGTGTGAATGAAGTTGTCTTACACAATCCTCAGCCCCTAGCTTTACCTCATGGGCCCTTTAAAAAACTAGGTCTTGACCACAAACCTTGCCTGTTGTGCATAGCAATCCATAAAAGCATGCAGACATCTGAGGTCTTCTAGACATTTTCTGCCAGACCTACTGTCCTATGGCACACCATCTAAAAGCCTACCCCCTTCTCCAAAGATTCTCTCACCTCTTTTTGTCCTGCTTAGTCACAACCCCAGAGAAATAGTTCTCTTTTATATTTGGGGGGACCCTATAAGATTCTGCTGCCAGAGTGTTTACCAGCATAATAAACAATATAAAAATCACTGTTAGGCAGTTGCTTGGGAATCCTCCCCATGTTCCAAGGGGAGGGTCTCGTTTTGAATACCCTGACTTTGGCCAGACCTGTCCATTCTGGAAACTTTCTTGAGTGCTTTTCTGAAGCTTTTTGGAGGTTAATAATATTGCACAGATTTTTTTTCTCTAAACCCCATATACCATGAGGATGCAATAATGCTGGTTTTCATCACTGATTACTTGTTTCTTGTTTACTTCTAATATACTATGCTGCCATTCACTTCTAATAGAACACTATTGTCCTGAAGGGCTCATTCTCCCTCCTCATGCAGATGCACAGGGAAGACAGAAGAACCCTTAAGTCTTTAATCTATAAACATGATATTTCCTGCAATTTCCTTTTGACTTTTTTAGGCCAATAAAATTAATTTATAATTATTATTTACATAATTGCTTTTTAATTCACATCAATTATTTCTGACCTGGTAGCAAACTTTTATTAGGAAAGCCTGAACCTTGGGAGCCAAACCCTACATCTTCATTGTTCTTAATTCCGTGCGCCTTCGGAGTCATTTTTAATAGGACACAGTGTACATTTCCTTCTATCAAAATGGTCCTAAATGATACCAAAAAATTTTAGGTGATGTTTTCCCTACTCATTCCTTTCTGGGGAAACAAAAATCCTGAGGTTAGAGATGTTCTAATTCAATGTTTATGGAGATTTTAACCTGAGTGTTGTAACATTACCTAGCAGCAGATCCTACTAGCTAGTTGCTTTTTCTATCATCCATTCCTTTACCAATTCTTATTATGTGTGTTACTCTTGGTGCATATAAAAATAAATAAGATGTTTATAATTTATTTATTGAGAGGAAACATAATAAAATTGAAACAAAAACATTAAAAGTAAACAATAATACAAGGATTAAAGCTGTCATAATGTAGATATTATTTCAGAATGAGTAGAATAGATATAGAAATCATAAAGGAGGAAAAAAATAGCATCTATCAATGTTCTGCTATCTACTAGGTTAAGCATGTTATGTGGAAGTCTCCTGCACCTGTACAACAACCCCTTGAGGTCTCAGCATGATGTCCTTTGTAGAACTGAGTAAACTAAGTCATTAAGGAACTTATGCAGAATCACAGGGAACATAGCCAGGATTGGGGTGAAATTCATGTTGCTCTAAAGTCAGTTCCCTTTCCACACTTCTTGGGGAATCATAGCTTAGGAGGTCTGTGACAGATTTATAGAATCCAAAGGAGTCAGATCAAATTCTGAAGCATTAGAAATGACAAAGAAAATAAGGAGTTTATTTCTGGGGCCCTAATAAGGAAAAGAAGGGAAAGCAACTCTAGAGATGAATGTAGGCATTGCTAGTACAAAGGCATGGGAACAATCATAAAGCATTCCAGGAAGGAGGAAGAAAAATTGTACAAAGAATGTGAAGCACACAAGCTTGTAGTTCTGTTGAAAATTGAATTCAGTGAGGTTTCAAGGGAGAGAGAAAATGAGAGACAAATTACTGTGGCTGAACTGATAAGTAGGCTCTGGATGAAGGGAAAGGACTCAGATCCTTTCTAGTTCTAAAACCATTTCAGCTAAGCTTCCTATTGTCCCCTCCTTTCTATATCCTCTTCAGATCTGCAATGTACCCTTCTCTTATTGTACAAATTTCTCTGTAACTTATAGTTAGTTGCCTACAGTGGTATCTACCTGATAAGCTCTTATAAAAATCACTGTCTGGGCTGGGGATTTAGCTTAGTGGTTTTGCCGCCTGCTGCGCAAGCACAAGGACCCAAGTTTGATCCCCGGTACCAAAAAAACCCAAAAAACCCCACTGTCTGTGGGGTTCAATTAGGCAGCCCACTGACTGAAACAAAAGTTAATATTATCACCAATTATGAAGGAAATTTAGGAATTAGAAGAGTTTTGGAGAATCCTTTCATCTCACTTTAACATCCATTCCACAATCATCCCATAATATCTTTTCTCTCATTATTCCCATTTCCTTCAAACAATCTTCAGTATAACACCTTTTTTTATGAGCTCCCTTAGAAGACCCCATTTTTAATAGGAAAAAGCTTTTAATTAGAAAGGGAAAGATACTGCTAAAAGACTTTTAGACTTTTGCCTGAGGCACAGACAAAGATCAGGCCTAGCCACAATAGGAAAGGATTCCCTCTTAAGCAGCTGTGGGGGCAGGGAGAGTGGAGGACACACTCTGATGAAGAGGATCAGAGTAGCCTCAAAAGTCTCCATTTTTCTATGGGTTCTTATTGTAAACCATTCCTGTGGGTCAGGTGCTATAGCTCTGGAGATAGAAACATTCTCCTTCCATTTATAAGGATCCAGGAGTCTAAAGGATGAAAATAGACAAGTAAACAAGTAATCACATCATTTAATGGAAAGTCCTATAATAGATGCTGTAGTTACCTATTTCAATGTAACAATTGTCCCAAAATTCAGTGACTAAAAACAATAACTTTTGGATTGCTCAGGATTTCTATGGGCCGAGAATTCAGACAGGGCTTGGCAGAAATGATTTTTCTCTATTTGTGTGATATTTGTTGCAGATCAACTTGCCTGAGTATGTTAGCCAGTTTTCTGTTACTATAATGAAACACCTGAACTAGTTCACTTTATAAATAAAAGAGATTTACTTGGTTCACAGTTCTGGAAGTTCAAGGGCATAACACCAGTATAAATTCAGTTCTGATAAGCACTTAATGGCAGATCCCCAGTGGTAGAGTGCATGAGGAAGAAATCTCATTACCAGACAGGAAGCAAGAGTGATACCGATACCGATGTCTTGTGATACCCTCTGTAGAAATACCTTCAGTTGATCTAAGGACCTCCCACTAGGCCCCATGTCTTAAAAGTTCCATACTTTCTCCCAACTCAATCATCCTGGGAACCAAGTTTACAACATATGACCCCTTGGGGAGCAAACTCAAACCGTGTCCAAACCATGCTACTAAATATCTGAGATACTTAAGTGTGTAGGGTCTTGGCACTAGTTGTTGTCCAGAACACTTTGTGTCTTCTTTGCAAAGACATCCTCTCTATGT